TATAAGCGTTTTTACTTAATATTACTTATAAAACTCCTTTACTTTTAAAAAAGAAAGAAATAAAATTAAATTAAAGTTAGTAATTTATAAAACTAGAAAAAATAAAAAAGGGATTTTATATTAAATATAAAACTTTTAAATTTTACTTTTTTTATAAAATTAAAAAGATTTATAATAACTTTTATAAGTAATTTTTTTAAAAGTAGTAGTAAGTAATAATATATTTTATATAAAGTAAAAATAATATTAAGTATTATATTAAGGCTATTTTAAATTAATATATAAAATATATAGTATATATTATATTTTTACTATATAATAGTTTTAGCTTATATAAAATAATTAATATTTAAAAACTTAAAATTAATTTTAAATTAATTTTAAAAAAATATAAAATTAACTTATTATAAGTTTTTTATTTTTATTAATTTAAATTTATAAAGTAATACTTTTTAAACCTTTTATATTTTTAGCTATATAATATATTTTTTATAACTTAATAGTAATATATTTATTTTAGTTTATAAATATTTATAGTATATTAAATTTATATATTTAAAAAATTTATATATTAAACCTAGTATTATATTTATATAATAAAACCTTATTAATATTAATATAAATATTTATAAGAATTATATTTTATTTATAATTTATATAATAACCTTTTTTAATTTAAGTTTATAAGTTAGTAAAAAGGGATTATAATAATCCTCTGCTTTAAAATATAAATATAATACTTATATTTAATTAATTAAAATTAGTAAAAAAATAAAATTAATTTAAAAAAAGAAAAAATACTTAATAATATTCTTTTTTAAGTAGGATTTATATAATTCCTTTTATAAGTTTTAAAGCTTTTTAATTAAATTATTACTAATTAATATATACTTTTATTATATAATTAAAATAAACTTATATACTTTTACTTTTATATATATATATATTATTTATTAATAAAAAATGCTTTTAAAAAGTAATATAAAACTGTTTTTTAAAGCTATTACCCTCTTAATATTATATTAAACTTATTAAATAATAAATTAATTTTATAATTAAAATAAAATAGTATTTAATTATATATAAAAGTTTATAAAGTAAGAAAATCTTCTTTTTTTAAATATTTTTTAAGTATAAAATATTTAATCTTATTATTACTTAATTTTAAAAAGTCTAAAATACTTAATATATAATATATAGTTTTTATATATATTAGCTATAATAGTTTACTAGCTTTAATTATATATATAGTAAAAATAAAAATATAATTTTTATAGCTTTAATTTTTAATTTAAAATAATATTAAATTATATTTAAAACTATAATTATTATATTTTTTACTTTATTTGTATTATTTTTTATAACTAGTTCTTAACCTTTAAGTAAAATAAGAAGAGTTAAATTAATATTATTTTTATTATATTTTAATTTTTATTTTTAAGTAAGTAAGAATAGTTTAAAATATAAAAGTTAATTACTTTATATAAGTATTTACTAATATTAAATATACTTTTTATAAATATTAAACTTATTATAAAGCTTATATTCTTTATTTATAAATAATTCTAACTTATTTAAACTTAAAAGTAATATTAAATTAAAATTAATATTTATTATATTTATATTATTTTTATTTAATTTAGTATTTAAATATTATTTATAATATATTATATTAATAAGTAATTATTAATTATATAAAGATTATTATTATAATTATTACTATATATAATTATTAAAGGATTAATTTTAAATTAATTTTAAATTAATTCTTTTAAAAATGCACTTTATATAATAGCAGCTTAAGTTAAAATAGTAATAAGTAGTTAAGCTGTTTATATATAGCTTATCTTTAATATAAAAAAAAAGACTACTTATATAAAAACAGCTTACTGTTTTTTTAGCGCTAGGGATTACCTATATATATCTATATACAGCTTATATAGGTACCTTATAGACAGCTTATTTATACACTTGTATTAGGCAGACCAAGTAGTAGGAAGTACAAGATAAGCGAACTATGGAACAACTCTTAAAGTTCTTGAAGCCTTAATATCATTCAATTAGCTTAAGCTTATGTCTTATCCACATATGTTAACTTCTCCCCCCACCAACAAATCCCAGAGCCACCGGCATCACACAGTGTGATTTATGAAAGGCATCCTGGACAAGATAAGGTTAGGTATGAGAGATGGGAGACATTCGTGGGTATTCTTTGTGTCATTCCGCTTTGAAACGTTCAAATAACCACCTTACATCACGGCACGACTCGGCGTCAAAATACATAGACAGACTCTTGTACTTCAGCCATCGGCCAAATGGCGTCCAAAACCAGATAGCAAAACAGACTACAGACACCTATAGCTTCTACTGCGTCGTACGCCAATCTTTGTGTGACTGAATACATCTACGCTTCTCCGAACATGAACCTTCCTCAATGTGGAAAGGGACACGCAAGACAATGCTCGGGCACAGGTATAAATTGCCGACTTCCCCCTCTACATCTCGGAAATTTTTCAGTCCCGGAGGTGATCCTTGCTCAAGTGTAGTATCTGTTCTTTTCAAAAATCTGACCGATGACGCCCAGTTTCGAGGATTCGGCTGAGGTCTCAATGGGGTCCTGAAGGACTCGATGGTCGCTTGTGGGGGGGGGGGGGGGGGGGGGGAGGGGTCGCAAGTGCGTCCCCTTACTTTTTACTCGTGGCCTATGATGATTGGGTGCCTACATATAGGTGCAGCAAAGAAGCTGAGGCCATAACAATCTCCTTCTTACCCGTATTCTTCTCTTCTCTTAGCCAACCCTCTTAAGTTCTCGCCCGTGTTTGACAAGCAGCAGTCACGTAAGATTTCATTCTGCCATGTTGGGTCAAAGACAACGGCCACCGTCCGTTTTTTTTCTCAGTCAGGGAGATTAAGTTGCTGACTGACACTTCAGAGTCCAATTATTCCTTTAAAATGGCCACTCTGACGTTTACAGTTACTCCTGGCCCGGTTGATGTTCTACACCTATGCCTCTTGGGAATCCAAGTCAAGAGAGCCGGTATAAAACTAGCTGCCATCGGAATGGTGCAAGGCAGACTTGCTCGTGGCTTTTTTCAACTAAAGGAAGAGAAATTTCACAGTTTCATCAGATGATTGTAGATCGTCAAAGATGCAGTGTTCTCGAAACTATTCAAATCCATCTGGATACATCATTTTATTCACTATCTGCTGCTTTCCTCGAATAGTCCTGACAAAAGGTTCTGCTTAGATTTTGTAAGTTAGTAAGATGCCTTCGGCCATATAGCAAGACTTAGCAGCTTGTGCGAACTTTGTTCCACCCCAAGGAGGGAAGCCAACTGCTATCGACAGAACGCGCATAGAAATGACGGGCAGGCAATGGATGGAAGACTTCTTGAGACGTATTGTGCTCTCTGTTGTTGGCGGCGCATCCCTGTTGTTGTGCCCATAGGGCTCTCCTGGACACAAGCAGTACTCCAGCACTGCCCAGAGATGATACTGATACAGGAGGTGTAACTTGAGACACTGGAGGGACGCTCACCAGCTCTCTCCGATATAGATAGACAGGAAAAAGCTATTCCCTCAACCAGCGTCACGAACTCTAGCCCAAAACACTTTCCAAGGTCAAAGTTCAGATTTCATACATTACATGTATGTGACATGCAACTGAGAGATGGAAATTCCACTGAGAAACGATGCGCCATATCAATTTGTGGTCGCGTTCCATATCCAGACTTCGTTATTATAGATATCCGTGAATGACAAGGCTCTTTAGCACCGCCACCTTGGAAAAGTGCCTTCAGCCAATCGTCAGGCGCCTTCTATTCAACTTATGCAAGGTACTATTGGACCAACAGCAACTGACATGTTCAGCAGCCTGATTTGTCGTGACACAGCCTCGTCGGCCACCCTACGGCCCAATGTTGACGGCCCAGTGGCTGCACATCTCAGGCAGCGTTCATTGACCGCGTCGGGCGAGGAAAGTCAACCAACGCAACAATCTGCCACTGCTCTTACATCCGGATAGGTCCCAAATACCCGGGCTTGTCCAACACCGGAGAGCATTTACTTCCAGTCGCACTTCTAGCCTGCATACCGAGCTACACTACAATGGCTCCCAGCCAAGCTACCGAGGACTATTACAAGTTCCTCGGTATACCCCAGTCGGCAGGAACAGATGCGATACGTGCCAGCTACCGAAAGCTTGCGTTGAAGTATCATCCAGACAGAAATCCAAACAATCCTCAAGCCACAGCTCAGTTCCAGCTGGTGTGTCTCCTCCCCTTATTGTATTTATGACAATGACGAACACTGACACAAAGTTCCATTACAGCTCGAGGCTGCCTACTCTACTCTATTTGACCCTGAACGGCGACGGGTTTACGATCTACAATACGAGTCAATCAAACGAAATTCAGCAACAGATAGTGGCAAGAACCCGCCGCCGCCGCAGTCGAATAGCAACAACTCCGACCAGCTATACAAGATACAGATAGCAAAGCTAGAGGCGGCAATACAACAATTACGAAATAGGGAGGATGAACTTGCAAGTCAATTAGCCAAAGCAAAGAAGGAGCATAGCATTAGCCAGGTAGCCCTCGGCAAATTACAACAGGAGGCAGATAGAGTAACAAAGGAAGAGGCCAACAGAAACAGCTGGTATGGTTATTTCTTCGCCAAGAAGCAATCGGAGGAAGAGAAGCAAGCGGCGCAGCGGCGCATGGTGGACAATAGGGCCGCTCGAAGTGTGCGAGAAGCAGAACTGAAACGTCTTGTGGCCCGTGTTCTCACTACTCAGTCGCAGCTCGATGATATCCAAAGGCGGGTGCGGGAGAAAGTGGACGAAAGGCACAGATTGCAGATACAGGAGATGAAACGGCAGCAAGACATTCGACTAGCCGAACTGAGGCGACAACAAGCGATGCAGAGAGAAAGAGAGGAGAGGGCGCGAGAAGACGCAGAAAGAAGACGCAAGGAGGAACAGGCCGAACGATTGCGAAAGGCTCAAGAGGCTGAACGCGTATGGAGGGAGCAAGAAGCTGAGAGAATACGAAGAGCACAAGAAGCTGAGAGAATTCGAAGAGCACAAGAAGCCAGATACTACGAGGGAAAATGGGACGACGGGGGAAAATGGGACGACGGGGGAATATGGGACGACGAGGGAAATCCGGACGACGAGGAAAGTTCGGACGACGAGGGATATCCGGACGACGACATTTTGTTCAGATTCTGGGACGACATGCCAAACAGGAACTTCTATAGAGAAGAACCACGACAAGGTGCAAGCCAGACAAAGGCCAGGGGCCAAAGGAGCCAAAGAGGGCAAGGACCTAGAGCGGGAAGCTCAACTAGCGGACAGTCAGCGAAAGGACCAGAAAGACGGAAATCTTCCTGTCTGCACAGGGCCTGGTGGGCGGAGGTGGAGGGACGCCACGAATGCGAGCGATGTCTAGAAACGACCCGCCGTTTTGCGTTTTGCTGCCCGGGCTGTCATATGGTCGCCTGCGCTGGATGTCGCGATACTTTGAAAAGAGGATGGTAGCCGTACCATGGGAATACATGTTCAATTGTATGGAGAAACAAGAATGGCGAACCTCGATTGAGATGCAGTATACGGGCATACAAACATAACATACTGGGCAAAGTGGTTGCTAACGAGCGAGGTAGACATGACAAGCTTCCTCAAAGTCTCTCTTACATGTTGAAAAAGCTCTGCGTGATGCATTCGAACGATGTGTAGTCTTCAAGTGTCTTATTGCTAAAGTATGTTGCAAATGATACACGTAGATATGCCTCAAAATTTGACTAACGACATTCTTGTCTTTATCCGATGACTTTCCAACACCATCTTTTTCTTATTTCCCCCGTCGTCTTTTCATCTAACACGTCGTTGCATCTCCAAGGCCGTAGTCGGTGGCTGCCAACAGCAGCTCCATGAAACCAGCACTGGTAGCCCTGAGGTTCGAGTTGTACTGGGAAACAGAGGGATAAAAGGGGCAAGACGCGGCGTTGTTGGCAAAGCCAAACTCAATCGTGTAAGAGTGGATGAGATTCTTGGTAGGATCGGAAAAGTGCCTCGAGTAAGCGTAGTCATCACTCGCGCCCGAGGTGGGATACAGCTGCGCCGACTGAAAGGCCGTGTAAGAGCGGCCGCCGCCAGCAGTCAGAGCTGAGGCCACGCGCTTGGCCGCGGCCTCCTTAACGTCCAGGTCCGCCTGGGGGACATACTCGCCGTAGCCTCGGCCGGGAGACGGCGTGTCGGTCAGGATTCCGCGGACCTTGTTGTAGGTGCCATTGAGGAAGTTCATGGTCGGGTAGTCGACCTGGTTCTCATCGCTGCCCCAGTTCCACAGGACGTCACCGGCATACGAGTGAAGGTCCACGAACCAGCGGACTTTGGAGTACGTGTCGAACACCCACTTGATGTTCTTGGTCTCGGGCTCAGAGAAGGCGCTGGCACCGTGGTACGTCTCGGAGCTAGGAGAGGTCGAGCCAACGCTGGACTGTGCCGACGAGGCGAAGAGGTTGCGGAAGTCCCAGAGGAAGTCAAAGTTCCGGTTCAGGTCGACTCCGGGGGACTGGCCCGAGTTGGGGTTGCGGTTCTTTCGCCAGCAGCTGTTGGTGGACTGGTCATAGGCCACGCCGTCGGGGTTGCTGAGCGGGATGAAGACGATTCCCGCGGCCAGCGCCGTCTTCACCTGGGCGTTGCTGTACGTCTTGGAGCCGTAGGTGAGGCCGGTGTTGTGGGCGTTGGCATACAGCAGATCCGAGATGAAGTAGAGCACACTGTCTGCGGAGCCGCGCTCTCGGGCGTGGATGTTGCCGTTGAAGAAGACGCGGTAGGCATCGGTACAGTTACCTCCGGTACCGCCGACCTTGGCTCCGACGACGGTTGCGCCCTGGGCCGTCTTGTAAGGAGTGTTGAAAGTTTGAACTCCGTACGTGTTGGCCAGGCCCTGCAGACCGCTGGTGACCTCCTTGACGTTGAGAATTGTGCTGAAGGAGGTGGATGAGGACTGAGTTCCCAGTCCTCGAGGCGCAGTTGAGCCACCGCTAAATCTGTCGCCGGTGCCGATGGGAGTTCCGTTGCTGGACTGGCGGCGGACGACTGGCTTCAGGCCACTCGCCTCGTCTCGCTCATGGGGAAGAAGACACGCCGAGGTGGCTTGGGAGAGCGCAAGAAGCGCAACGGGGATAAAGGTCTTCATCTTCAGCTATTGATGTCTGTACTGAGACGAGAAGGATGAGATGGCCTCTGAGGGCCCAGTCGAGAGCCGATCAGCCCCAACTTATATTCAAGTCGAGTGTCTTAGTCTGATACTAGATGGTCGTGTTTGTTGATGTCAGGCGCCCTCTTCGTGCCTCCTTGCCTTTCGATAGCAGTGTCACATCAGACAGGCACGGCAATGCGCCTTCATCCGGAAGTTGGGAGCGGCCGAGACTGTAGCTGCCGAAAAGAGGCAGGGTTCCTCTGGCTCGCGTAGTATTATTTGAAAACCAGAGGAGCTGCAGCTTGCCCTGAATCGACTGCCGGCCGCTTGCGCGTCTTGGTTTATAGAAACAAAAGTGCCGGCCCCGCTCACGAAAGGGATCTGCATCTCGTGGTCTGCGGTGGCACAGACGGGGTATGTAAGGAGGGCTTGCAGCGTCATGGGGGCTGTCCTCCCTCCCTAGGCACCTTAGCCAGAGGCCAAGGAGGAGGCTGGTATCACGGCTGGAGGTTGGCGATCGGCACCGTCCGATGAAGTCCCTCGAGCCTTATTTGTGTAGTCAAGCTGGTATCTAATGCTCCGAAAACGTCGTAACACTGCTTTAATACCGATTGTGCTTCTTGATACGTGTGCCGACAATTGGCCTATTCATGTAGTGAGCACTCAACAGTCCTTAACAAGCAGCATAATTCCCAGGTACTATTGCTATAAATGTATGCAATTGCGTCTGCAGAGAGCAAAAAAATTTTGTCAAAGAAGACAACATGAAGGACTTTTTGTACATCACGACACTGCAAGGAATCTTTGTGCATTGACGCCTATACGAGTACACGGCGCACGGGGGAGATAGCGGCAATCAACACCAGGTTAGGAAGGTCACCAGGGCGAGCGCCTACGGCAGCGGGATTCTCGATCGCGGGAGACTTGAGAGGAGATTGTCCCATGAATTGGCAGCCTCTACTGGACAGTTTAGAGATTAGATGCTGGTCAACCACGACATCGTTGGCTACCGAATGCTTCCTTCTCTCCGCCACTCTAATAGTAAGAACCCCCAATGTACCAACTGGATTGATTGAAGTACCTATCTTAAGCACCAGCAGGCTCCATGCTGTGATTGAAGCCCAACATGTGACGATGCTGTCGTGATTGTTGTTCATGCCTGCTTTGTATTAGCTGCTCCGCCGGTAACAAAGAGGCAGCTCCGCGTTTAGCTTAACTTGTCTTATAAAAATAAGCCTAAAACTAGGTAGAGGAACTTTATCTCCTCAGAACATGACTGGCAGGCAGATCTCGGACGGCTTTCAGTGCATGGCCGAATTAGGAAGGTGATGTGTCTCTGTGAAGAAGCCAGCCGCTGAACAAACTGTGGAACCGAGGCTCAACCCGTGAAGACTGGCTGCCTGTATCTGTGTTCCTTACAACAGGGACTCTTTACAACTCTTCGAATATTCCGTAGAGTCTTTTCAGCAAGATGTAAACCAGTTCAAGATTGTCAAGGCGTCTATCTATACGAGTTCCAAAGCTACCAGGCTTCCTACTTCAACTGGCTTGTCATTATCATGAACCCGCATACCACGGCCATCGTTAAACTCCTTCCACGAGTGTTTGTCATCCGACAATTCGTCGATAGTAAGGATATCGAAGCCGTCGAGGCCAAGCTCCCCATCCATTACGCCATGAACGAAACAATCGCCAATAAGTCGAAATCTTCGAGGCGAATGAGAGCAAGTGCGGTTCTCACAGCAGCTTTCGGGACGTAGAACCAGTGGTACCCTGCTCCCAGGCACAATGTATACTTCGTCCCCTTCTTTCATGAGCATTGGGCCCATACCCATATGCCCGTACTTGGCAAAGAAGCGTCTGTCATAATAGAACTCTTGGCTCTTGAGCTGCTTTTGTTCGGTGTCTCTGTCAAACACACTCTTGTTCTGGAGGATCAACTCCTTCTGTTGTCGGAGCAGTTCTCTATGTTCATTGATCATCTCTTCTTGCGACTTACGGAAGTCGTCGCGGTGAAGATATACTGTCGGCTGAGGCGCTTCCCCGGGCTCTGCAACCTCTGGTGCATATTTTTCTCCTGCGATTTCTCGACTAGACAGTCCCTGAGCATAGTGCACCAGACGGCCATTAAGGAGCCTCATGGCACCATCAAATGAATCATCCAGGCTTGCGGATTCGCTCATCAGGATGTCTTCCCTTGGCCTAAGGAATCTGCTATGTTGGAGAAGCCTAGCCTCACTGATAAGCTTCATGTGCTGGTGGATAGTCTCGATGTGAGCTTCTTCTTTGCCATTTTGGCCAAACAGCTTCTCACTTTGAGAGAGAAGCATTTCTTGCTTGTCGAGAGACTTCAGTGATGCCGAATAGAACTCGTCGACGTCATTGATGAAGAACATTGCTCGCTTCGATATAGATAGTCGTATGACCTCTGCAAATCGGTCGTAATCGAGAAAGAGAGGAGCGAGTGTCTCGTCCGGATCTCTTCCTAGAATAAGCCCTCCGTCTCTTGAATCAATATCACCGGCCTGGAGCCGTCTCAGGGATTCATCCGGGGTCTTCTTCATGTCGGAAAAGATTGTCCTCAGAAACATGTCATGCGTATACTCAACAGGCCGCGCCCGAGCCACTTTTGCCCATTCACCAAGCACCTTGGCCGCTATCTCAGCGTTGAGGGACTCGTGTATTGGCTCTGTGGTCTTCGTTACGGTTCCAACTTTCCTACCAATAATCCTCAGAGATTGCCCACTGTGGATGATGGTGCTGTATCTGGGAAGTTCTCTGAGGCCATCTGTGTGATAATACATCGCCAAATCCCCACAGATCTTCTCAATCTCTGGTCCGACAGTTGGCGAATGGAAAATGCTTGTTCTCGGGTCCCGTAACCGCGCAGCATATTCTGCTCTTAGAAGGCGTTGAGGGTAGTATTCAGCCTTGAGCTTGCCAAGAAGCGAAGCTATGTCGTCTCTTATCAACTCCGATACAGATTTGTTGTTCTCCGTCATCAATAGTAAACTGATGCCCTTGCAGGCATCATATAAAGTGGAAAGTTCGGTCCGCCGGCGCTCGATACTCTCACGTTCTGTGCTCCAGTCAGGAATCCAAGATGGGATATCTTGTCTTACTTTGCGGCTGTGATCCCCATTGAGAACAGCGAGCGACTTGGTGTTCCTGATAGCCACAAGAACTGGTGCCATGTGCACTTCGTCCACCTGTAAGCTGTAGTCAGGCCGTAACACGGTCGCTTCGTTGCATAGCCCTAGGAGCGCGTACACTCGGTCCCGCTCATCAGAAGTACGGCGAAATCCGAAATATCGCAGGAGCAGTAGAAGATTTGTTCCTCGAGATTGAGCCCAATGTGTACGGAAATTGTCCAAGTACAATATACGTGTGGCCAGATTGAAGACTTTCGCGTCGGCCGTTGACAAGGAGCTAGGATACTTCCCATGGATAGACTGCCAGTCACATAGAACCTCCGCAGCTGCGACTAGCAATGCCCATGGCACTTCAACGTTGCCACATCTTACGGTCAGACTGTTGGCGACAACGGCCTCCTGGACAACCCATATGCGATCCCACCAGGGAGCGAGTAATGTATGTCGCAAAGCCTCGGCAAGGGCAGCCATATGAGCATCGGGGATATCCTCCAAGACTCCAAGTGGGTTTGGGATTTCCCTGGACTGACTCACAATCGTCAAGAAGGCAAAAACCTCCAACGGTTGAACGGGCTTCTTCAGGGACGATGTCTTCCAAGCATCGATATACTGGCTTGCAAGCAAGAAATCGGCTTTGCAGCCACCGAACCTTTGAAACGGGCGTTGATCTCGAGAAGATGGGGGCTTAGGCATGCCAAGTTGCAGTCCACTGCCGAGAAAGATTATCACCTCTACTGCCCTGCTATAAATGTCTCGCATCTGAGCAACCTGGGAGGATCGCTCCTCGGTGTTACTCTGGTCAATGCACTATGCTTCAGTTAACGCATGTCCTACTCCATGTTACGAGAGCGTAGCAAACTTACGAGAGCATCAATCCAGAGAGCAATGTCCGCGTCTTCGTGTCGCAAATGCCTTAGGGCTATTTCGAGATTGGGCGTTACTCTGGCTTTACGCCCATTGACCAGGACCTCGGGGGGTACTCGACTCCAACGCCCCCAAGCATATGACAAGGCCTTGTACGGGGGGTACCCATCTCGTGAGCGGTCGAAGGGCAGAAGTGTGCAACGAATCTCATCTTCCCATTGACCCTGTGATAGCACGATCAAGCGGAAGAAGCCAGGTTCTGTATTCGCGGCCATAACGGCAAAGTCCTCGCAATATCCCTACAGCGGTTTGGGATCTGGGAAGAAATGAATTGGTAATCCATAATCCATGGCACTCCTAGGCATTTCTCCCATCTGCATCGACCCCCAACTCAGTCAACCAGAGCCTAATGTGTGCATTTTTTGTTGGGCATCAGCCGGCATGCAGCTGCGCCTCCGCGGGTGCTGAACCAACGCCAATTGGAGTTGCACCTCCTAGCACAACCACGGAAGAGCTGTCACACAAGACGAGTGATGCAGAACTCATCGCATACCATAACCCCGTTTCTTGATTCAGCAAGGGGAGAGACGGTGGTGTAAGGCGTTGGGCGTAGCTCACACTATAGAATATCTCCATGTAGAAGTACCTAGGAAGGCAATATCACATTTACAAGCGTATCGACAGTGAAGCATAATAGTAGCTGTTCATCACGGTAAGATTTATGCTTACCTTAGACTACCTCGACGGGCATGATGCTCTCACGATGCCGAAGTTCGACATGTGCAAAGGCATCGCTCGCTGCTGTGAGCTTCCTGTCCCATCCGTACGTTTAAAAGGTACATCATATCAAATCGTCGAAAGACCATATCAGATGCACCAAGAATGGTCTTCCCATTGAGATACCAAGCCCGGTTTAAGCTCTTCATCGCCACTTACTCCTCTTGGCAGAATATTCAGCTCAACACTGTTGTCATATATCAAGGACAACCTCATCCAGTCTTGGACACCGAAGGGCAGAGGGTGGGGTTAAGGCCAGCGATCTCGACATCAATAAGCCCTTAGGAAAAAAAAAACTCTCATCCAAGGATGATACAGTCTATCATGCGGCACCGGAGAGTTTCTGGCAGAAAAGAAGCAGTTTGGCCCAGTTCAGCCACCAGGCAGACGACATGTGGGCTCTCGGCAAGACACAAATTGTGTCTGAAAAGTCGCGAAAAGACGTACGTCGCCAGAGATTGTCAGTGTATCAGTATTTCCAGAGATCACGCCTCAAGCTTGTTCAGTAGGCTGTCTTCATGATCGTCGTGATGAGGCTGCAGAAGCAAAGGAAGAAGATGTTCCGTCTTGGCGTCTTCCTGTCCCCAAATCCCCAACGAGACAGGCTATTGCAAGCCACAATTTCTACTCTTGACGAGTACTGATTGTCTTGTTCAAGTACCTCTGCTTTACGGCTGTCAGACTTTTAACTTTGACAGTGCCTGTTCGGTCAATTCCATGTCATATCGCCCGCCGTATTGTTTCTTGTGGTTGACCTCCCCTCCATCGCCCGTTCAACTTCCACCTCCATCCTGTATGCTGAGCAAACAAACGACAGAAACAAGTCTTCCAAAGCACAATGTCCTGGGCAAGCCTCAGCACAGAGATTCAATGGCTCATCCTAGACTACCTGCGCGACTCCAAATGTCGCCAGTACGAGCCTCCCGCCCGCCGCCGAGCGCGCAGAGAAACAACCGGCATCTCCCAAGCAGCCTACGCATCCGTCTGCCGCGAATGGAAAGAGTTATTCGAGAAGGCCAACTTTGAGAAGCTCATCCTCCACCAGGACGACGTCACAATGCTAGGCGAGATCATTCCGCGATGCGGCGCGCTTGTCCGCTGGATCTGGCTCCGCATCGAGCTCCCCTCATACGACTGCTCCCTGTGCGATCAGCCGGAATCGGTGGAGGAAGACAAGATCAACAAATATCTCTTCACCGATGCTATTTGGGGTCTGTTTGAGATCCTCAGCCAGCTGAACGATAAGCATCACCCCGGCATAACCCTCGAACTAAGCGCGCACTCGCCCAGCCTCGTGGACCACTATGCCCAAGAGCTAGGCTGCATGATCAATGACACTGCATGGCACACATTAGGCGGAATCCAGTCCCCTCGGTCCCTCAACGACCGGTTCCATCGCTGGTGGTTCGGTCAGCGGCGGCGCATCACGGACGCTGCCGCCCTCAGAATGGTCGGTCATCCACAGGGGCTCCGTTTCGACTTGCGGGCACCCGCTGTCAAGCGCATGGACAAGACGCTTCCCAGGGTCAGGGCCGTCAAGGCCTTGGTGGTCCGCGGCCAGTGCTATCGACATTTGTCGGTGTCAAAGGCCCTCGACCCCATCATCAGAAATCTCACTCAGTTGCGCGATCTCTCCTACGAGTGTTGGGAAGGCTATGACACGGCCGAGATCAAGGGGCGACATATCCGATTGCGCGAAAACAAGATATTGTTGTCAGAGACGCTGAGGTACCGCCGAAGCTTGCGTAGAATCTGCCTATATGAGGGCACCAGTCGCTGTAATGAAGATCACCTCCGCCCTAGTTTGACTTGGAACCGTTCCGTAATTGGTTTTGGTTCTGACCTGGCAAAGGCAAGTCGGAACTTGAACGAGCTGTATGTCAACGACCTTGCCGAGGCCGATGACTTCTTCCGGCCATTTTGGGGCACAGATCTCCAAAAGCGCGCGCCGAGGCAGATGGTCTGGAGGAATCTCAAACGCATCTCTTTGTTTGCCGAACTGGTTCCCCCCCTTTCGTACGATGGTCGGATACAGGCCGCCGGCCACGCTGCCTGCAGGATGCCACAGCTCCAGTTTATGGAGTTGTGGTATTGCAATGGGCAATATCAGTGCGTCTTCACATATGATATCTCGCAGCATGCGCACGATACACACAAACTCGAGCTCAGAAGCTCGTGGGGAGGGCATCTTACTCCAGCCACCGTGCAGGTCTGGAGGAGCGCCGTTTGCGGCCGAGGGCTGGGAATGGAACTCGAGGTCCGCGGGCAAGGCGAGGTGTGTTTTCTTCCACGGGGGCGTGATCTCATGTGTGCGCTGGTGTTGAGAGGGGATGCGTTGACAGAGACCAGCCGACGGCAGATATTGGGTCAACATGGACACTCGGGCTTGGGCAGGGGTTCAAGACAGATGAAAGCCGACTACTAGCATAGAGCATTGAAGACAAGCGCAATGTAGCGACACTAGAAGGAAATAGATCTATTTGGCACTTGCAACAGCAGCATCAACAAAGACAGTAGTTTGCTGGGATGCTGGAAAGCCGCTCCTTGCTTCATTCCTCATGCTGCTTGGACTTGATGAAATCGAGGCGGGGGACATGCAAAACCTTGACGTTGCTGTCACTGCAGCTCTCTTTAGTAATATTGCGTTGAGGTTGACTCTTACTCGACTCTTACAGTTAGACTATAGTACATACATATCGGTCTCATATTACTTTTACACAACAACGAGGGCACTTCAAGTCGCTAGCCCAGTCGAGACTCGGGCAGATTCCACGCAGCGACATCACTCCCGAAGCCGTCAACCCCGGCCTCCAGAAGCGAACCGTGGTAGAAAAGCAAGGAGCCCTACAGTTCTCCTGCAAAACCTGCATTTGCAGCATAACGCAGCTGATAATCCCTCAAGTCAGCCCAGTGACGCAGCTCTTCCTCTTCGTCTTCCGCCGTCATCTGGAGCGGATCTGGCGCGCGGGTCTCTCCCACGGGTACGGGGCCTGTCTTCTCTAGCTTCATAAGCACCTCGAGAAGCTGCGACAGAGCCTCTTCTGACTTGATGGCAAACGGTCCTTTTCTCTCGGGGGCATCGTTGAGCAGCGTGGACGCAACCTGGCGAATCTTGTTGATGAGAGATCCGCCATTCGGCTCGAGATTTCGCTGTGAGATGGAACCCAGCACGGTAAGGAGGTTTTGCACGATAATTTCCCGCTCGGCAGACATGAACTCGAAAATCTCCTTGTCGTCCGCATCCTGAAGGGCCTTATCCTCGTCACTCGTCCCTTCAACTTCGAGAGTCTGCTGCTGCTCACTAAGGTGAACATCTCTCAGGTTGAAATACAGCTCCACGAAATACGACCTCGTAGCCAGCTGCGATACGAAAATGTTGGCCTTTTGAATCTCGTACTGCAGCTGTCGACGTCTTGTAGGCTGCGTCTTGATGATGTTGCGTACGTCGTGTGGCGGCTGCGTGTTGGGCCACACTGGCGGGACGTACTGCAGGCCGGCGTCTTCCATGCCGGCCAAAGGGTCTGTTTCACCCCCAGTGTTCCCCAGCTGGAGCTCTGGGGGGAGGTTATCGATGATGCTCTTGGCAGCCAAGAGACCATCTCTGAGCAGCAGCCTTTGGTCTGCCCATGGGAGGGTGCTCATGCCGTACGCGAGCTCCAGGCTGACGACGCCGTTCATGGTTGTGTAGATGTCAATGGCGAACCGGAAGCCCGTGAGAAGCGTCACGCTGCCCTCCGCCGGGTGGATGATCTCGTTTGCAAGAACGCAAATGTCATCCACGTTTTCGGGGTATGCAGGGTAAGGAAGACTGGGTGTAGACGGGGCGATGACAATGTCGGTATGCGATGCTCCCAGCTGCGAAAACGAGCTGCAAGAAGAGGTCAGCAGCCATGACTAGGTATGAGAGACAGCAGACACGGGACAACGGAGAAGCCATACCGAACACCTAGCAAAAGACACCAAAAGATGCGCTTGCCAATCTGGTCCTTAACGTGGTTGAAAGGCATCGAGTCGGGGGCAAAGCTGTCACTCCCAAAGGTGGGCAGCTCGCCAGGGTGTTTGGGCCTGCTGAAGCCGAGCTCTCTCAGGAGAGTCAGCGTTTCGGCCATGAAGTGGCGAGACGCATTCCATTGGGAAGTATAGCCAGATGCCAATCCAAGGAAGTAGCTGGTCGCAGCATCGTCGAGCGTCTTTGGCTGCTTCAGAACCCATCGACTTCCCCGCGTGAGAAGGGCAATGTCACGACATTTTTCAATCATGACTATGGCCTTGGGAAACAGGTGCGTGCTGTGCTGGGCCTTGAGATGCTCTCTCGCGCTTCGCGGAAACGATGCGACCAGGGCGGCAATCATGCTAGCCAGCAGCCCCAAGAACTCGGGCTTCAGGCGATCCTCCCGGTTCGCAAACGAGTGTCGGAATGTGGGCTCGTGGGGGAAGGGGGCGAGCGGGTGAATGTACGTGAAGAAGTCATCCACCAGGAGCTCCAGCACGGGCATTGGCGCAATAGCCTCGGCATCCAAGACGCTGTCCGTCGATATCGTCATGAGCGTCTTGGCGGCGTTCTGGGGCGACGGCGACGAGGGGAAGCCAGGAGGCACGACGGACGGGTCGATGCGAGCCCGCTTGGCGGCTTTGGCAGCCTCGGCGTGCTTGTTGGGCGGCCCGCGCCGCTTGGTCTCACGGTTGAAGGTGCAGTCGACGCCCAGCTCGCGGCACGGGCGACAGGGCATGTTGGAGTCGTCGCACTTGACCTTGCGCATGCTGCACATGTCGCAGGCGCGCCGCAGCCGCGTCAGCTTGGGGTTGATGGTGGGATCGCGCATGACGCCGCCGGGGCCCGCGACGAGATGCTGCGGCAGCTGGCCCTGGAGCTGGCCCTGAAGCTGTCCCGGGAGCTGGCCCTGGAGCTGCCCCGGCGGCATCTCAGGCGCGGGCGCGATGGGCACGCCGACGGCATGGGACTGGGCAACGGCCTCGGCGGCGGCATTCTGCAGCGGATGGTGGTTCTGGATGGCCTGGGCGGCATCGCTGGCGGCCTGCAGGATCTCGAGCCCGTTGCTGGCGTAGGCGTGGGCGGTGGCGTGCTGCGACGGCGACGGCGGGGGAGAGGCCGACATGGCAAAGGCGAGCTGCGCGAGGCTGAGGCTGTTGTCGCGATCGATGGCTGATTGTCGGCGGATATCCGGATGTTGTGGGTTGTTGAAGCGAGGTGACGCCGATACCGAGAGGCGGAAGCGAGAGAGCGCGAGAGAACTGGGCATGGGCGTGGGTGGTCACGTGATACTGCATTGTGGGGGAAATATTACAGGGTAGGTAGGGGTTTTGGCGTGAGCTGTGCCTGGGACGGAAGATTTGGTGATGGAATGGCATCTCATTGTCACATAGATGGGTTGCAACTCTTTGCAATTGGCGAATCGGTGATGAGACCTGGCTCATGTGTGTGGACCTTGATGGGATCTATGAAAGACGTGGTGCTGCCGTGGGAGAGCAAGGTGACACCTGGGTGGTTGGACTGAGACAAAACACCAAAATGGAAGCTATACAGAAAGAAGCCACACACAACCTCACAACACACCTGCAACAGGGCATTCTAGCACACATTGCTGCAGTATGTAGGTATAAATACCGCTGCTTCCTTTGAGATCTCATTGACAGATACCTACCACTTTCCTTCAGCCATATTCAATGCTCCATATTCAATCCCATCATCTCCAGCAGGATACCTACTCGTAGATACCTACCTAGAGACAGCTGGAACAGCTTCGTGCAAAATCCCAACGCAGTCCAGCAAATCCACGCGTAAGGTTGACGTAGCCGCACAAACATGCAGTTCCACGAGACGCTCCTAGCGTCGTTTTCCCACTCAGTGGACAGGCCCAACGATGACGGCTTTCCGTGTCAAAGCCTTTGACAACTCGCAGATCGGCCCAGTAATCCTTGCCTTGGCTGCTGTGACGCGCGACATTTCCCCCCCTCTACTGGCCTCTGGCTGGCTGGAGAAAAGCCTTTCGCATCCACACCTCTGGGCTGGAGTGACGTGGGTAGAAATGCAACTGGGTACGCGCTTGGGGAAAAGCACGTGAAAATGCTCCGTAGATCCATCTGCCACTGTTCGATTCAGGAACGTGCAAGACTTATCTTGAGCCGCAAGATCTACTAGGTACGGTGTCTCATACGCAGACACGTCGATTCTCAGCCTCCCGTGATATGGTAGATTCGAGGTTTGAGCTGATCAACACCCATTGCTTGGTGGAGGTCATCCATCTGCATGTGTAAAGTGCTCGTACGTGAGAATCTGTGACAGGAGTGTCTGCTCCGATGCGACGCTTGAGCGATGGTGTCTCTCTGCGGCTCTAGCAACGCACGGCTGTGGAGATCTGAGCGGGCTGCCAGGGACGGGATCAACAGGCAACCTTCTACTTGTACTTGTACGACCACTACCTACCTAGGTACTGTACTCGTATGCCACACATGCTAAAAATCGCGACGAAGCAGCATTAGCCCAGTACTTGAACCTCTGGAAGAGTGGCCGTTCAAGATTGACACCAGGTTTGAGACGGTGCATTCTGCCCGAGACGCACGATGCATCCAACACAGCTGGGAAGGTTACTCCGTGCCTCAGCCCACTTCCAAGAATTCAGCTGCCGCTATCAACATGGCTGAGATTAACAACCGGGAACGGAACGCTCACCGCTGCTTGTTTAGTGAGGAAAGTCTGAACCTCATAATATGAAGCATGCCAGTTCAGGTCAATACGGAGGCTTGCCCTTCTCCTGAATGAGCTCCTTTTTCTGGGAAGCATCTGGAAAAAGGGGCTGTTCTCACCTACCCGGGGGGGGGGGGGGGGGGGAAGAGTGAGCCATCGCTGCTCTCCCCCGCTCAACTTACTCCGTACGGAGATTCTCCGCTGGTGCCTCGCTACTCCGTATTGCGGGCATCGAGCCTTGTGGTCTGGCGATGGGTTGCCGTGAACCATCTGGCTCCATTGGTCATATTTCGGCTTCCAGGACGCTTGCGCTGGACTTGCCTAGTGCCGCTCCACCGCACCAGGTTGCCGGTGATGGTCATTTCACTGACATTTATTGGCTGTACTGGCCACTTACTCGTATACTGCTAATAGTTCTCAGCAAGGCAGCAAGGACGCCAGCCACTTTCGCACCGGTAGATACCTTGAACGAGGCAGATACGGTACTACGGAGTTGAGAGCGTGAGCGTAGAGTGCAGGTGAACTGTCTGTGGCTAGGTTTCTACCAAACCACTCCGTCAGTCTTCTTGCTGCAGACGATCAAAGAAGCACATAGTTGTACTCAGGGAAAAAGTCTGCATAGACGCTGATTCGGCCCGAGGGTAAACATACGGACAGCCTTCCATAACCCCTCCTCTGTGAGTGAATTTATGGACGTGGTGTTGAGGGCGACTACTGTAGCATCTCAGTGGTTTGGTGTGAATGCCATTTGACGGTTGTGTGGGCTGAGGTTGTGAGAATCTCAGCAGTGTTGCACCGTGTGCCAATACCTACCAGACCCATCCCGCCTGGTCCCCCCCCCCCACGCACGACGTGTAATAGTACAGGTACTTCTCCTATGGGCAGCTGGACGCTTGCAGTCGTGTACCTTGTCGATTCCATCTTGTCGTATGGTAAAAATGCCCCTCTTGTATTGCTTCAGTTGCAGAATGCCGCAGAACAAGCTTCGAACAAGTTACGGCTGACAAGGGGCCACGACCCGCAGCTGGAGCTCCCGATAGGGCGGCGGCCAAGTCACAGGCCATCTCAGCAAAGACGAGGCCGAGAACATCAATCGACGGAAAGGAGATAAACGTTGCGCCCCCCCAGAATACTAGCCGTCGTCTTAAGCCACACTCCTTCTCACCCTTCCCTCCTCCTGCCCATTCTCTCCCTGAACCCGCACAACTCCAGGAGCAGCTGTGACTCCTCCTGCCTCTCCTCTTCTCCTCGTCGTCCACACGTAGCAGGTGCTCGCTGTCGGTCAACAGTTTGAGCCTTCCCTCAGCAGCCGGCACCAAGCCTCCGAAGCGCTTGGCACCACAGTACGAGGCCAAGCACCGCCTAACGCCCTTCTGCCAGCCGCTGACCTTGTACCCCTCCCCCTCCTCCAGCACAGGTTCCTCGAGACTTTGCAAGCACCGACCGACGTCGACAAGACACAAACACAAAACCATCCGGGAACCTCGCGCGCAACCGGCACAATGGCGCGCCGTGAGTCTCTGTCTGAGATTCGCGCCGCCAACCCCGAGCTCTTCCTGACGGGCAACATCATCTCGGCGACCTTCAACATCCCCCATGCTGTGACATACCACAAGGGCGGTGCTTGGGTGAGTGCATTTTCCTGGCTGGGCATCGCTTTGAGGACGTCCTAAGCTTGTCTGTGCTTGAAGCACTTGGCACTGGTCGAGGCGAGATCAAGGCAGACGAGCTTTGTTTGATTTTCTGAGACATCTCCCTCCTCCCTCTGCGTTGATTGCCTCATTCTGCTGCTCTCCTCCGTCGCCCCCGCCCGTGGGAAGCCATCATTCTGACTGACTTTGGCTGCGCAGGATCTGAAGCCCCGCCGTGGCCAGTCGGCCCTCATCGACTCCTTCGCCTATCTCTCGTCCGACGCGACGCCCTGGAATCACACAGTCGTGGCCTGGACAGGCGAAATTGCCAACCCCGACAACGACCCGCTGTCTCCTCCAGATACCCCCTCAGCCGCGGCCACCACCATCGGTGCTGCCAACTCGCTGTCGGCTCCCGTCCCGATCGATGCCACCACTCGGCTGCCCACGCCTCCCCCAGTCGACGGGCTCTGGATCCCCAAGGCAGACCAGACGCGGCTGGAGCACCAGCTGTCCCACAGCACAACCATTCGCACCGTGCCTGTCTGGCTGGCTGACCAGAGCGAGGCCACCGATGATGGCATCATGCTCAAGGACCAGGCTCGCTGGAGGCGCTATGCTGAGCACGATCTCTACACACTCTTCCACTACAAGCAGCACGAGCCCACGGATGGCCGCAAGGAGCGGGCGCAGTGGGCCGACTACTACCGCATGAACCAGAAGTTCGCCAACAAGATCATTGAGATCTACAAGCCTGGTGACGTTGTCATCGTTCATGATTACTATCTGATGCTGCTGCCCAGCATGCTCCGCCAGCGGGCTCCCAAGATGTACATCTCCTTCTTCCTCCACTCGCCCTTCCCCAGCAGCGAGTTCCTCCGTTGCCTGCCCCGCCGCAAGGAGGTGCTTGAGGGTGTCCTGGGCGCCAATCTCGTGGGCTTCCAGTCTTACAGCTACTCGCGCCACTTCCTCAGCTGCTGCACCCGCATCCTCGGTTTCCCCTCTGACACTCTTGGCATCGACGCCTATGGCTCCAGGGTGCAGGTCGGAGTGTTTCCCATTGGCATCGACGCCGCCAAGGTGGAGACCGCCGCCTGGGCGGACACCGTCAACGAGAAGCACGCTGCCGTCCTGAAGATGTACGAAGGCAAGAAGATCATCGTCGGCCGAGATCGTTTGGACAGCGTGAGGGGCGTTGCTCAAAAGCTGCAGGCGTTTGAGCGCTTCCTGGAGCTGTACCCTCACTGGCGCGAGAAGGTGGTCCTGATCCAGGTCACGTCGCCCACCAGCATCGAGGCTGAGAAGGGTGACCCGGAGAACAAGAACGCCAGTCGAGTCAACGAGCTCATCACCAAGATCAATGGCGAATACGGCAGTCTCGGCTTTTCGCCTGTGCAGCACTACCCCCAGTACCTCAGCCAGGCCGAGTACTTTGCCTTGCTCCGGGCCGCAGACATTGGCCTCATCACCTCGGTGCGAGATGGAA